CCACCCCGCGGGGTCCAGGCCACCTTCGGGGTCCCGGCGTCGCGGGGCGGGGCTGGGCGGGCGGCCCGGCCTGAGCTCAGGTGTCGGCCAAGCGCGTCCAGGTGCCGGCCGGGTGCGGGACCGCAGCGTTGGTTTAATGCTTCAAAGACTGGACGGCTAGCGGGCCAACGATAGAAAGCCCACGGTGTGCAGGTGCCTCTAGCCCGGTCTGCGGAGACGGGCACGCGGGTTAAAGGGAGCTGCCCGCTTAAGCGGATCGGTCTGTGTGTGCTCTCTTTGCAGCGCGAGCAGGAAGCTGGTGCCGGCTTTGGGGTCTCTGGGTTCCAGGCAGAAGCACAGCCTCCCCGACCTGCCCTACGACTATGGCGCCCTGGAGCCTCATATCAACGCCCAGATCATGCAGCTGCACCACAGCAAGCACCACGCGGCCTACGTGAATAACCTGAATGTCGCCGAGGAGAAGTATCAGGAGGCGCTGGAGAAGGGTAGGTGCCGGGCGGCCTGACATTGAGGAACTGGCTTCAGGGAAAAGTGGCAGCGAGGCGTGTCTCGGTAAAGACATGACCCTCCCTCCATTCTGTAGAACCGCTTCACGTGTTCGTGCATTGACTTAGGGGGCAGAATTCACATGGAGAATATCCGTTTTATGGGGAACGGAGACAGGCTTGTATTTATCTGCTGATATTTGAGATTCAATGAAAATGTACTATGGAGTACATTTTTTTTTCTTTCAAAAAAGAGCTCAGTTGACAAAACAGTAGTGCGTGGACCCTTTTGTGTTTTTCGTCTGGGGGTGTGTATGGGAATACTGTGTTTTAATGTTTCTATACAAAATAGTATTACACTTTCAATCTGTTAGTTGATCAATGGTTTGCCCGAGGGAAGTAATTGACAGTCATGTTTCCAGACTGTACGTGTGGCATAAGCTATGCAGTTAAAAGCGTGTTTTTCTTAAAAGTATTTTTATTGAATTTCAGTCCTGTGACATGTGTTGAGTAAGTTTTGGACAGTGATATCTTGTTGACTGGGGGCATCTAGTGGGAAAATGTAGTATTTCAGTCTGATTGTGTATGAAGTAATAAGCAAAACAAAAAGAAGAGGAAGTTGCCACATTCTGGAAGCTTACTTGTGAAATCAGAAGAACTACAAATAGGGGGAAGGAAAAGTCTCCCAGTACGGGAAAAAGTTCTATGATTTAGGGAAAAACAAATGTGGGAAGTATGTGGTCATGATGAGAGGCTGGGGCAAATCCCAGTTGTGAAAGTATTTCCTGCAGGACATCTGACACCCATGGACCTTTCTCATAAGTGTATTAAATATTGCTTAACTTCAGCTCTTTTCTTATGCAGTTGAAGCTTTACTTGCTTAATGAAAGCCATTGGGAAAAAAGCTTTACTATATTAAATTTACTATATTAATAAGTATTTGCAGAGCACTCCTTTATTTAAAAAATATTTTAGAAATCATTAAGGAGTTAATTTTTTTCCTTTTTTTTTTTTGGTGGGTGGAGGTAATTAGGTTTATTTATTTATCTTCATGGAGGTGCTGGGGATTGAACCTAGGACCTCGTGCATGATAAGCATACGCTCTACCACTGTGCTATACCCTTCCCCAAGGAGTTAAATTTTCTGTTTGAAAATTTGGGGAAAAAGAAGAGTATAAGGAAAATAACGTCATTGATCTTATCACATCTAAGTATCATAAATACTTTTCAAAGAAAAGTACTTTTATCATGTTTAACAGTGGAAAAAAACAAAACATTGAACTTCAGAAGAGTGTTCTTGAAAGCAGGTATTAACCCCCACAACTTTCTATTAAAATTTAAAAATGATTAAACTTTAAAAGATAGTTTTAACGTGATTAAACACGTTCGCAATAAGCATGTTTCTTTCGCACTTGAAATATTTAGTTATTGCTGACTTACTAAAAAACAATATAAAGTTACATCTATTATTTTAGGGTGATTCTCCAAGAAAGATGAATAAGGGAAACACTGATCAGTGAGAACATTGTTTTGTAAACATGACAACAACGACGAAAAGCTGACATCTTAAACAACTCTCAGAGATTGTATTTAGATATCACTGGTCCTCCCCGCCTTACTGAATGGCTAAAAAGCTGGATATTTCCTGTTTGAGAAAGCGGCAGGCCTTCCGTGTCTGAGCATGCGCTCACCGTGGGACTCAAAGGCTTGCGGTTATGTAAACGCCCCGGGGCGGAGCTCGCTGTGGTTGCTGGCGGCGCCCTTCACTTTGCCTCTGGTTGTCTTGTGAACCCCGAGCCCCTCATATGTATTGAACAAGGGAATTCCCATTTTTCCTAATAGTTAAGTGAACCTGTGGCTTCTCGAAGACATAGGAAAAAATATTTTATTTGGCCTACTTGTTGAGCAAGGCAGGAAAAAACGGCTTCAAACATGATACTCTCTATAAGTATAGCTGTCAGAGGGGGTTTTTTTCCCATGGAAACTACACTCAGTATTCAAGAGCGCGTGCTGCTTATGAGGCAGTATGTTGGGCGGCCGGGACAGGGCAGTGTGCGAGAGTCCTTGTCCTCCCTGGGGCTCTCCTTCCAGCAGGGAGGCAGGTGACCAAGTACATATGGAGAATGCTGGGGCTTGTCAGTCCCATCGGGAAAAACAGCAGGGGAAGTGGTCTGGGAGAGGGTGGGGTTTGCCCATTTTATATTGTGTTTGGTGACCCTTATGATGAGGTTGACGGTTCAGAGGAGACTTGATGGAGAAGCGGGGAAGTGAACCACGAGGCTGCCTCCAGGAAGACAGTTCCCGCACGGTCGGTGGAAGCCCTGAGCTGGGAACATGCCAGGCTTGTCATGTGAGTGCCAGGAGGCCGTTGTGGCCGGAGCTGGGCCGGTGAGGAGATGCAGAGTGTCGGCTGATGTGCACCTCTGTACCGATTGTGAGGACTTGGGGTTCACTCTGGAAAGAGCAGCCTTTGGGGGGGTTTGCCTGGAGATGTGCCATGATGAGTTCGGGGTCCAAAGGAGCCCTCTGGCCACTGTGTTGAGAATAGACTGTGGGGGGGCAGAGGTGGTAGCAGAATACTACTGAGAGACGGTGGCCTGCGAGCCTGGGGGGAGATGCTGCTGGTTGCATCAGAAGGAGGAGGAAGGGATGAGGTTCTGCATGTGTTTTAAAGGTGGAGCTGGCTATGCTGCTGGATGTGCTTCTGTGTTCGAGATGGGGTGTGAGAGAAACAGCTGGCACTTCCTGAGATGGGGAAGGCCATTGGAGGAGTAAGTCTGGGGTTGCAAGTCAGTTCAGTTTTGAATCAGTTGAGTTGTTTTGTAACATTGAAATATTTCCCAGCGAATAGTTGTCTATTTAAACACTTTCTGTATCATCTGTATAATAGGGGCCATATATTTTATAGCATTCTATTATTTCTCTTTGTTCTCTCCGTAATTTCATTTACTGAAATCTTTTATAACCAAGAAAACTGAGTTCTTTCAAGCCCAGGAGTGAATTTTCTACTAGCGTTGCTCCTCTGCTGACTTCTTAGTAGTTGTTTGGCACGTTATTAGTTGCACTGAGAATCCACTGAGACAAATATTTTTGGGAAGGTTATTTGTTTTTTTGAGAGGGTAGAATCTTGAAATTATGGAATTGTGAGACCAAGAGGGATGTTACAGATAAGCTGGTCCAATTATCTGACATTTTACGAAGAAATAGTGTATAGAATGGTTGAAAAGTAAGAATTAAAAAAAAATGTGTTTGTGTTTTAACCTTTCAGGTGACATTACAGCTCAGGTAGCTCTGCAGCCGGCAATAAAGTTCAACGGTGGAGGCCATGTCAATCATTCCATTTTCTGGACAAACCTGAGTCCTAATGGTGGAGGAGAACCCAAAGGTCGGTTTCTACTAGGGCAACCTTAGCCCGTTTTGGGCACTATAGGAATGATGGTTGATTTCTTTAAGTTACCTGGCTTGTCCCTGAGATATTTTAATGGCATGTCTTTCACAGCAAGGAAGAACAGAAAGCTGTAACTTTCAAAGGGCACACAAGCGAGTGGAGAAGCCATTCAGGGAGTTACAGCATCAGATTTTATACACACACATGCACACATAATGGCACGTATGCTGTCACCCTTTGGTTGAAATGTACTGTACTTCCCAGTAGGGACAGACTGAGAAACTTAGTTTTTAGAAAAGATGAGCCTTAACTTACCAGCCTAGGCCCTGCGGGGAGGTGCTTAATCCTTCTGTGCCTCACTTTCTTCATCTGTATGATACGGGGAGAATGGGGCTGTTTTGAGAGTTAAGTAAGTTATTGTAAAATAATGCCTCTTGTTATTCTTTTACTACTCTACCTAATTGATAAAAAGTCAGTTGTCCCAGAAGATAAGGTTTTCCAGGACAACCACAGGTAACGAGGGAGGACAGAGCTGATGGTCTTGTTCGCTCTGCTTGTTTACTTGACTTCCTGTGTCACACATGGAGGCCCAGGTGACTTTCATCATCCTCCCCACCCCAGGGAAGGCATGGGGCGTACATCTAGCTCTTCTCCTTTGTGTCTGGGCTCCTGACATGTACCCTAAGTTTCTGGGTGGTTTTTTGTTTGTTTGTTTGTGTATAATTATGTTATAGAAGGCATGTTATGCACTTGAAATAAGCAATTTCATTTGGAAGTAAGGATGAATGGAGTAAGTATGGGAAACTGGATAGTTTATTTTTTCTGAATTAGGGCTTCAGACTGTGACTTAATACTTTTGAGGCTTTGCGAGTTACCAGAATATCAGATGCACCTGTATTCAGCTAACAGGTTTTGGTACTCCTGCCATTTTGTGTTCTCTCTACCACTTTATACTATCATTTCTTTCTTTTTTTCTTTTTTAATTTTTTTGGGGGCTTAATTAGGTTTACTTATTTATTTATTTTTAGAGGAGGTACTGGGGATTGAACCCAGGACCTTGTGTATGCTAAGCATGCGCTCTACCACTTGATCTATACCCTCCCCCTATACTGTCATTTCTGCTTGTAATAGATGATTACTTTTAAACCAGATAGAGTAAGAGAAGTGATATTTTTGGCTTGGTTGATTTAGTTACGTGCTCAATCTAGAATTATATTCTATATTGCTACAGAATAAAAAGGGAGATAGCTATTAAGGTGTGCCCATAGTGCACTGATAGAAGGTAGAATCACTCTTTAAAATAATACAATTGAGATAGGAAGGACCTGGGCTGCCTCGGAGAAGAAGCAGATAACAACCATAACATTTTCTTCCCAAACTGAGATAGAGCAGGTAGGGGAGAAGTTAAAGTAAAATTTTCTATTGAAGGGGGGGAAAAAAGCTGATGAAAAATGTTATTTCTTTCCTTGTTGAAATAGAGTGAGTGAAGAAATCTCCCTTGTAATATGTTTCAGTAACAAACACGTGAATTAAAATTGTGGGACCTTATGACATTGGTGTCAGGGCAGGAGTAAAACTGTTCTGTAGGCTCATTGGGTTGTGTAATATTTTCTGTATGTTGTCTGGTTGTATCTTGGGCCATATGATAGGAATATTTGAATATGTATAACGGAATATTTTATTGTAATTGGTGCGATCTGTTCATTTGTGGATGTTTTTGGATTTTTTTTTTAAATAGGGGAATTACTGGAAGCCATCAACCGTGACTTTGGTTCCTTCAGCAAATTTAAGGAGAAGTTGACCGCTGTATCTGTTGGCGTCCAAGGCTCGGGTTGGGGTTGGCTTGGTTTCAACAAGGAACAGGGACGCTTACAGATTGCTGCTTGTTCTAACCAGGACCCCTTGCAAGGAACAACAGGTTAGGATTGAGAATTGTTACACATTTATTCAGAAGAGGTGGTTCACTATAAAGTGTTTACCTTAAGATAAGGAAGGCTAGTGCTGTTTAAACCTGTCCTGAGCAATATGAATCTGGGCAGATCTTCACATGGGATTCCCAGAGTCTTGTGTGAGCAAAAATGCTGTGTAAGTCCTTGATGCTTTGTAAAATTCCACATGTAATACATTAACAAAAATGTTTGAAACATAAACTCTACTTCATTTGACAGAGAATTAGTTTCAGCTTACGTAATTAATTACATGCACTAAAATAAAAAACTATAATTAGATAAACAACATGAAGGAGGAAAAGACGTATAGGCTGAATCTGACTCAGACCTTGGACCCTCATCCCCTCTGCTGAGCACTTGTGGTGAAACTGGAACAGAGCTCCGGTTTCCAGACCTCTGCCTTTACGAAGCTGTTTGATATAGGAACAGATTTGGCTCAGACACTGCAAGCTGGGCTCCCCAGATCCTTTTTTTTATGTTGAGCCACAATGAAATAGAAGCTCTTTAGGAAACAGTCATAAGGCAAGTTAGCTGCAACTAACTTAACAAGTCATAAAGCAGGTTGCCTGGAACTTTGATGTAAGGTGGTGTCTTAACATCTATCAGCAGTGGGTCTCAGCCACATTGCTGCCTCTGCACATGTTAGGAGACTTGCCTACGTGACTCACTACCCTGGATGTTTTCAGGTTTAGCCAGAATCTCAATTTCTAAAAGCAACCAAAGATTTGTGAGCACAGTGCTATAGAGAGCCTGGTAGCTGACTGGAAGGGCTGTCATTGGCAGGTGAATCCTAGCTACATCTCCTTGAAGAAAGCTCACTAGCATAGAAGTGAGTGAGAATTGTGGCAATTTATTTATGGGAAAAATCATTTATTAAGTTTGGTTACTTTAATTATTAGTAATAAATTATTAGTGACATACCTCACAACTGATTAAGACATAGTGGTTGATGATTGTTTTCCAAGAGGAGAGCTTTCAGTTTGCGATTTTTTTGAAGTGAATGTTTTATAGATATAACTCATTGTTCATGTACACAATTCAATTTTGGAAAACTGTATCTTTTTCTTTAGACCTATTCAGTTTCCCTTGTTAACTTATTCTTTCTGTTAGTGTCTTTATAAATGCTTTGTATTCTCTACGACTAACATCAGCCCAGGGGAGGCGGGCAGGTGTCTCATACACCAGCCTCCCCTCCCGCCCTTGACCCAATGAGGACAGCGGAGAATTGGCTCTTGGATAAATCTGTTGTTTTTTTTGAGGGGTGGGGGGAATTAGGTTATTTAATTATTTGTTTTTGGGGGGTGGGGGAAGCAATTATGTTTATTTATTTTATTTTTAGTGGAGGTACTGGGGATTAACCCAGGACCTTGTGCATGCTAAGCATGTGCTCTACCACTGAGCTATACCCTCCCCCTTATTTATCTGTTTTTAATGGAGGTACTGGGGACTGAACCCAGGACCTTGTGCATGCTAGGCACACACTCTACCGCTGAGCTATACTTTCCCCCTAAATCTGTTGATATTTTAAGAACAGCATTTAAAATACTGTGGCTAATTGATTTTTCCTGTCTGTTTTAATTATTTTTTTTACTATTTATCACATTTTCTTCCAAAGAGTAAAGTTTAAAATCTTTTGATAAGATCTTTATTCTTATGCTGATTTCTGATTTATACAACAAACGGGAAAATGGATGAGAACATTGTAAAGGGTAATTATTTTGTGTGCGTAGAATAATTAAAGTTTAAAGTGAGAAGACAGTGTTTTAGATTGAAACTCACCGTTTTTGCTTCTTTTCCCTTCTTTCCCATAGGTCTTATTCCATTGCTGGGAATTGATGTGTGGGAGCACGCTTACTACCTTCAGTATAAAAATGTTAGACCCGATTACCTGAAAGCTATTTGGAATGTAATCAACTGGGAGAATGTAACTCAGAGATACATGGCGTGCAAAAAGTAGAGCGTCAGCCTTACACTGAGTACATGGAGCTCTTTGTGACTGTTTGTAGTAGTGCCGAGTCCCGCGGTGTACCAGTAAGCTGCTCTGTTGTAGTGTTTCTGAATGTAGCTTATTCAGATAATTGATAAAAATAATTTACTGCTAGGAGCAATTTCCTTTAAAATTTTGTTTTTAGGCAACTCTTTGAAAATGTTAAATGCTTTGTGTGATTTAGTCTTTCGATTGAGCAGCATTTTTTTCAGAGAGCTAAAGTAGCTAGGAGGTTATAATTGCCGTCGTAAAACCATCAAAAACATTGCATCCTGGTATTGTCGGGGCCTCCGAGAAAGCCTTTCTAATACTGTCCTGTTGCAGTTACAGAAAACCTAGTTTTTTTTTTTGCCCTAGTTGTTTAATAATAAAATACTACATTTATTTCCCAAGGGAAATACTCAGTTTTCTATTGAAAATTGACCTTTTTGTAAGTAATCCTCTGTCCAGTATTACTTCTGGCAGGTATCACCCAGTGGTCTTGAGTTATTTATGATCACATGTTACACAAGGTTAACACTAACCATTTTGTCATTAAAATAACTTGATTTTCAATTGACAATTACTTGATTAGGAGAAGGAATTTTTCTGC